TTCTGGCTGCAGCAGCCAAACTGAACGGACTGCATCACAATAGTGAACTAGCCCTAAGGGCCTCTTCACACGACGTCCGTTTTGTGTGCTGACCTGATCCGTACGCTCCTGCACGCAAAATGTATCCCTATGTGTTTTATGGGCTACAGTTCTCACGTGCGCAGTCCGTTCAGCTTACGACCGAAAAATACTGCATGTCACATTTTGTACAGTCAGGAAACGCAAACGTGTCAAAAACGCACTGCAGCTAACATACTAACAGCCCCACTGGAACGCATCAAAAACGCGGCCAAAACGCACTGCATCAGTATCACCGCGTCTGCAGATCTGGACCTGATCAGGACCTGAAACTCATGTGAACAGGCCCTTAAAGAGACTTTTTTTTTTCTGTGCTATGATTAGAGTTGGGTTATGTGTGGAAAAAAAGTGTGGCATGTTTTAAGAGCAGATGATGTTGGTGGGTGGGCATTTTACAGTAATAGTTTTCTTTACAATAGAATAGGAATTTACTTTCCATGTGTTTTTTATTATTTATAGATATATACGTGTGTGTGTGTGTGTATATAATACAGGGGTGTGGACATTTTTGAAAAAACTACTTGTCCAAGGGCTAAAGCGGGGGCCAAATCTACTTGTCCTTCATAACAATCTACTTGTCCTTCATAACAATCTACTTGTCCCAATACAAAAAAAAATAGTTTTAATTAAAACTAGGGATGCACCAATACCGGTTTTTGGGTATAGAGTACCGATATTTTGCTTTCGGTACTCGCCGAGTATCGGTGCTTCCGTTTGCATGGAGCAAGCTTCCCGGCAATCAGGAAGCGGGGCAGCGGGTAATGAGATGCTACCCGGCTTCCTGACTGCCAGGGAAGCCGACTTCATGTTTGGCCAGCTTGATTGTGAATGGCTGGGAAGCTGGCTTCCCAGCCAATTGGCTGGCTTCCTGGCCAATCAGTGCAATCCTGATTGCACGGGAAGCTGGCTCCATGTTCCCCTCCGGCACTGCCGGTCAGAGGAAGTCCTTCCTCTGACCAGAAGTTCAGGTATTGGAGAAGATATCGAGCATTTGGGCGAGTACTAGTACTTGCCCAAATACTCTGTATCTGTGCATCCTTAATCAAAACTGTATTGGTCTGTGCTAAACAGCGCTTCTCAATGAGTGCTTGCAATTTGCGAGCGAAATTCAAAATGCATAGGGCAGGACTGCGCTGGACAGTACGGGGTAAGGACAGTACACCTGTACCGGCGGAGGGTAAGGACTGTTTGCCGAAATGTAAGTATAGCCGGGGGGTGGGGGTTTTGGGAGAGACGGGGCCAGATTTGATCGGGTAATTCCATTTTCCCATATTACCTGGGAAAGTGAACTTGCCCTTTAATGCACATTGTGCGTGTGAGAGTTCTGCTGCCTCGCTACCACAATACATTTTGCATGCAGATTGCGGGGGCAGCAGGGTTGTTTTTTTTTTTGTTTTTTTTTTTGTTTTTTTTTTACATTGTCACTTTTAAAAATAATTTTTTGTACTTTTTCATAACTTTTTATTATTCCCCCCCCACCTAATTTTATTCTTATCACATAGGGATTTAAATCCTCTAAGTGATAGTTTGGAGGTGACAGGTTCTTTTTATGGAACCTGCCCTCCAACACAGAACTGATGTTCTGTGTAGTTCCTGACAGCTGAGACAGGTGGCGCTGTGATCACAGCGCACCCTGTCTCAGTGATAACACAGAGCAGACGAAAAACCTCCGTTTTTCGTCTGCTCTATGGTGAGCTCATGTTCCGTGGTTTCGGGTCCGCTAGAGGAGCGGGGACCCCGAAAACCACGGGGGGGGGGGGTATGCGGTGTGGACAGAATCGCCGCCTCTCGTTTCATACAAGTGATCAGATCACTTGAAAACGAGCGGCGGCACCACACTGTACACTTAGCTCTGCTTGTCTGGAGCGGGGCTAAGTGTACAAAAAAACTACTCGCCCGGCGCCCGAAACTGCATGTCCCGGGCGTCGGGCGATAGGAATTCCACACCCCTGTAATATATATACACACACACCTGTGTGATGTTGTTCTCAGATGTGTGTGTGTGTGTGTGTGTGTGTGTGTGTGTGTGTGTATATATATTAGGAATACTCCAATACTTTTGGAGTACCAATGCAGATACTTGGCATTTTCATGAGAACTACCAGGGTGGCAGCGGAAATCATCAGTCTGTATTGTTTTAGAAAAACTGTCACATGACAATAAACAAAAATGTATCGGTACTCGTACTTGCAGAACTGGTATCGGTGCATCCCTATATTTATAAAAACAAAAAATCATACATTAAAACGGAGATGTACAAATCCCAGGAGCTCCGTGTGCTCCTTACACATGACAGCTGCCTCCTAATTTTTTAACTTTTAATAGATTTATTATTTCTTTCTTTTTCTTTATTCTAGGGCAAAAGAGAAGACCAAGAGAAACTGTTAAAACAAAGCTGCACTCTGTATGTTGGAAACCTCTCATTTTATACAACAGAAGAGCAGATTCATGAATTATTCAGCAAGGGTGGTGATGTGAAGAAAATCGTTATGGGTCTGGATAAGATTAAGAAAACTGCCTGTGGATTCTGCTTTGTGGAGTATCCTTTTTGTTGTGAAATGGTTACTTTTCAAGCCTTGCCAAAGTGGTAAACCCAAATGTCCTAAGTATGAGAGGCCTTGTTCACACCAAGCGCGTTCCAGGAGCGGAGCTGTTACAGACCGGATCAAAACTGCGTCCAATGTATTTATTCCAATGGTATTTTGGGCTCTAGTTCACACCGCAGCGTTCAGTTCCAGAGCATGTGAAAAAACTGCAGCAAGCCCTATTTTTCCTGCTCTGGAACGCATGAAAACACATCAAAAACACATGCAAATGCCCTGGAACGCACAGACAGTCCTTTTTAAAAACAAAACCAGCCCGGTACGCATCAAAAACGTGGCAAAAATCCAGTGCACTGCGTGTGCAGAAACTCATGCAGATCTGGTCTGCATTTGGTGTGAACAAGCCCTAAGGGATCATGTATATGTGTCTATTTTGTGTCCATGTATGGAGAAGTTGATGTCCCAACAAGGGTCATGCTGAAAGCAATTTTAGACTAGCTGCAGCTGACCCAAAAGAAAATAATGTAGAACTTAGAGAGGTTTTTCGAGCAGATGTTGACTGGAGTATAGTGATATTTCAATGTTGGCATTAAATGATTTTTCTGGAGCTGCTATTTATAATAAAAATAAGTATTTGTGCCTTAACTCTGCCTTGAGATACTACACCAGAGGAGACTCTGAGCAGGCCATGAGATTTATCAATGGTACTCGCTTAGATGACCGGATTATCAGGACAGACTGGGACGCTGGTTTCAAAGAAGGAAGGCAGTATGGACGTGGCAAATCAGGAGGCCAGGTAAGAGCAGAAAAATCTGTCACAAAGCACCTGTGTTATTGGGGTCTGAAACTGCCTTTTCCTGGGGCAGGGAAGTGAGCTTTTTACAGAGTCGGTGCCCCAAATTATGCATGGATTTAAATATTTAAAAAGGCTGTGGACGTTTAATGACTTGTTCCTAACGAGCAGTGAATGAGTTATAAACAATCCCTTCTTAACCTTTATAGTTAGGAGCAATTCATCATTCATTTTCACAACAGAAGCACCAAATGAATTCTATTTTAGCCACTGTAGAGCACCTACATTAAAATACTAGAGAATCCCTGCTGGATAAAGGTGCTGAGAAACAGAATGTGACTGGACTTTAGTACTACTGCTTCAGATTTAAGAAATGAATTACTTCAAAGTGCTTACAGATACAAAGGTCAACGAGAGCTTGTTAAGAATATGTAAATCCTTAAATGTCCACAGCCCATGTCCAAGTTCACTTTAATCATGCCTGTGTTGTAATTTGCATCTTTTAGTCCAGTTGGCCTGTTTAGAAAAGACTAGAACAAGAGTTGTTGCCGATGGTGACCAATCAGCATCCATTTATTTATTTTAGGGCCTGTTCACACTGTGCCCAGGCATTATTGCAATACCATATTGTTCGTTAAGGTAACCCATTCATCCCGAATGCACAAAACAAATAGTGACATAATTGCCGTGCACCATATAACATGGCGTGTGCATTGTGCTGCCCTGCTGTGTGACCATCCACAGTAATAAAGCATTGAGGTTCCATTTAGAATATTGGCATTACACCACAGTTCATGCATTGCAGTAACTCTCAGTAGAAATGCGTTTTAGCACATATAACCACAACGAGTCACTGTGAATGTTTGTTGAGCTACTCTTTCCTGCACACCACTGCACATGTATGGTGTGAACACAGTAAATAAAAAAACAAGTGTTTTTACCTGTCCTGTTCACACCATCCATGTGCACCGCAGCCACGCCCCCTCCCCCCCCTGCAGTACGATCAGACACGTGGCAAAACACTGCCTGCGTTCCGGTCCACTGCAAACTCAAAAAAATAGAGCATGCAGTAGGGCTGCAACAACTAATCGATTATAATCGATAATGAGAAGCGTTCGCAACTATTCTCATCATCGATTAGTTGATTTACGATTAGTTGCTGCCGCTCTGCTCCTCCCCGCTGGTGCTGGCTGCAGCGGTCTGTGTCCCTTTCAATCCCCACTGCTCCCCCCGCCTGTATTGGCAGAGGCACAGACCGCTACAGCTGACACCAGCGGGTAGGAGAGTCTCTGTGACTCTGCAATTCCTCCCCCCCTCCCCCTTTTTACTTCTGCAGCTGCTCCGTCTCCTCTTGATCAGCCCGTGTGAAAAGGGCCTTAAGGAAATGAAATACTTTTCATAAGGTATTCTCTGCATTACCTGCTTTAATGTTGTGGTTTTTCTTTCAGGTCAGAGATGAGTATCGTAAAGATTATGATGCAGGAAGGGGAGGCTATGGTAAAGTCGTACAGACTTTTTGAAGAGATAGACAGCCAAGCTCAAGATCTTTCCCCTGTGAAAACGGAAGGCCTTATTTTTTTGGATATTTTGTTTTAAGTGTTTTTTTTTTTTTTTATGTGAAACTAGTGTTTTAGGGGTGTATTTGCTCATAAGGCTTTATTTTTTAAGTCATTCTACCTGAAAGTTAAGTTCATTTACACTTCCTCACATTTTAGAATAAAACTTTAAATGCTGGCTCTTTTGTCATATGTGTGGTCCTGGCATCAGTTTTTGTGTGTTTGAAAACTAACCTTTTATCTTTTGTTAGAACAGTATTTTCCACACCCTCAAGGTATTAACATCTTTCCTACAGTTACTTAGGCTTATTTAGAACATTGTTTAAGGCTCATAAAAATAAACCACCATAAAAGCTAATGTTTAAAGATTTCATTGTTAACACTAATATGGGTGTTGCCCAAGTTAGCGGTCTTACAGATTGCAAGGATAGGGTCACACAGGAGGAGAGTGGTTGTTAGATAATCTCTTTAGTTACATACACTCACATGATTGCATAGATTTTTAAAGCCTGACTTATTTAACCCTTTCCCTGCCACCGACGTAAGGCATACGGTGGAACCAAAATGTTCCCACCCTGCCAAGTATGTCTTACGTCGGTGCGGTGACATTTACCGTTCTAATATGTTAATGGTCGCTAAAGCGACCATGAGCTTATAGCAGAACCGTTCCCCTTTAATAGCTGTCATCAGCAGCTGACAAGCCGCTGATGACGGCTATTAACAAGCATTCCGGGGTGGCAACATCACTTTACATTACTTCCTGTTCATTCATGACTTTCTCAATGGGGAGAATCACGCGCTACAGAGGCTTCTCCCCATTCAGAACCCGTAAATAGTACAGAGGCTTCCCATTCATTCAGAAACTGTTGATAGTAAAATATTTACTGAGTGCTTTCCATTCATTTAGAACAGAGGCTGCAGAAAAAGAAATTGAGGACTCAATTTCTTTTTCTATTTCAAAAGGGAAATGTCAGGGGTCTGTTTAGAGCCCTGATATTTCCCCCAACAGTTGAAAAAAAATTATATCTAAAATTAATAAAAATAAACCTCTCCCACACATAACATACACATGCGCCATATTGTTGTGTACGCCATGCAAATGTGCTGCAGTGCATTTAGAACACATCGCAGTGCTTGTTTTTTCCTTTTTGAAATAACAATAATTTAACTGTGGCAATGCATGGTAAAGCATTGTGATGCATTGCCACGCATTGTGATACGCTGTGTTGCAATTAAATGTATGCCTGTATCATTTTCATCACAACACCGTGCAAAAACGATTTTTAACATAAGTCGCTTATTTACAGTTTTGCGTTCCTTCATTTTTTATTTTTTTTTACAGTTTTGCAAAAAGGTGCAATTAAAAATATACTAATTGTTATTTATAAACTCAATACGGTTTTATCTTTTACATTTAGTCGGAACATTTTTTTTTTGGTGCACTGGTACTGATGTTAGTGTGCTTCATCAAATGAATTGTGTGTTTGTTATCGGTTTAATATTGATTTGAGAAACATTTGCGCAATTATCGCAGGGCCTACAAATTTAGTAGCATCATCTTTTTATTCCACCGGGCCTGTGCTTTCAGAAAATATATGGTTTGGCGGGTCTTTTACAAACGCTAGCAATGCAGCAGTTAACAATCCAAACTTTAGGAGAAATTGCAAAAATGGTGTGGCCAGCTGAGGTGTAAAGCGTTCCAGAGGGCTTGGCAGCGAAAGGGTTCAATCTCTCCAGGCAGATATGACAACAGTTAATGTGGTTATGTATTCTTTGAAATACATTAACTTTTAAAATACAGTTAATTATAAGTGGCAGAACTACAAGCCAGGAAAGTGTGCTGCAGTGTACATTGGTTGACAGGAGGAGTGAGAGCAGCCTGCTGCTGCTCTTTCAATGTCCACACGCAGGCTGGGACTGGAAAGGTGATTTCTCTGCTGCAGTTAAGCAACAGTTTAAAGTCTGGTTACCAACTTGGCTATGATAGCTGGACTGTAAATCATTGGACATTATTGACAAAAAATTGGATTTTTGTACTGGCCACAAAATCCTTTTCTCTGTGTTCATTGAAGGACACAGCAGAGATCTTTAATGCAGCTTAAAATGTGCTACTGCAGCTGGTAATCTGCATTATTTCAAATTCATTGTGAAGTCGTCAGGAAAGGCTCATTCTTTTATACGAGCATTGTGGTTTGATGTCTTTAATTTTATTATGATTACTATCACATGAGGAGCTAACCGGTCCTCTTTTATGTAGACTGGGGCTACAGCCTCCAATATCCTTCTACTTGGCAACTTTGTGTAGTATTAGGGGGAGAAAGGAGTGCGCACAATGCAGTGGCTCCATATAAGCAGTACTAGGAGCCACCACAGAAAGGGAAGTATTCGTTTGCCAAAATAAACAAACGATCCTGTGCTCAATGGAGCTGACTTTGAAGATGCATTAGCAAACGAGACTTTGTGTAAGTGTAGCTATGTGATGTGTTTATTATCAAATGCGTTTAAAAACATGGTAATATTTAACCAGTCATGCTTTCCTTTTAATTAGGTGTTTTGAATCCAATGCTCAGAACGGATGTCTAGGTTGCTATTTTTATCTGCTTGTTGCACATGATTGTGCTTTTTGTTAATGCAATCTTGTGCATAGGAATGATCTTGGGTTCAGACTGAATTTGAGTAAATTCGAACCCGGAAGGAAGCGGTCACTGCCGGTCCAATTGGCTTCAGCCTAAGGCACTCCCCACCTCGCAGCTGCATGTAAACAGGGGTGGGATGCTGGGGACATGATTGTGACCTTTATATGGCCACATGGTTGATCCTGTAAACGCAGGGTAGTACATAATGCATCAATCAGGTTAGAAACAACACCTTGCACATCTAAGTCATATGCAGTTTACTCAAAAACAGCCTCTCCAGAAGTATACTGTGAGCAATCTGAATCAGTGGTACTGGGGGCCTCAGGCACAATTGAGATGGAGGCCCTGAGCGGTTGAAGCTAGATTCTGTTGGGGAAGGCACTGAAGTGGACTTAAAGCGTCTTTGTGCAGATTGGGTACAAACCGACAAAAAGTCCAAAGTAGATACAGAGGTCCTTGTGGACGTCTGTCATACAACCAATGAGTTGACAAATACTCCTGTGAGGATGACCCGATAATAGGGGGTCTCCAAATTTAAGTTACAGTATTGGTTCCTTCTGGGGAAACTGAGAAACCACCCCTAGAACCAGTAATGGAGTATGGACTGAGATCACTCATTGCAGTGGGAACGTAGACTGCATTGCACTATGTAGCAGAGAACAGGCCCTAAGTGAGGCAAGGCCTTGTGAACCCTCAAGCCAAAAAGTTTGTTCCACTGCCCTCCTGCCAAGTTACTGTAGATGGGCAGTGGAATGGTAACGGGGACTGGATAATGCACATGGTGTTGCAGGAGCAGCAGAGGGATGGTGCTTCTTCTAGGCTGACTGGTGGGAAAACAGCACAGAGCATGCTAAGCACTCCACCTCATTGATGATATAAGCACTCAAGTGTTTCAGCCTTAAAGGAGAACTATGAGGTGAGTGATTTTCACTCACCTCATAGTTCTAGCCGACCTGTGACAATGAGACTGTGACAGGTCGGCTCAGTAGAGCGGGAGGTGAGCGAACACATACCGGCGTTCGCTCACCTCTCGATCCTGTCACGGCTCTCTGCAATGACAGGGGAGGGGCTGGATTCCCCCCTCCCCGATCCGCCAGCACTGACTGGCGGAACGGACGGGGGAGGGGGTGGGTACAGCTGGCTCTGCCTTTAGATAGGCAGAGCCAGCTGTCAGTCACGCAGCTGGGCGGATCCCGGCACAATTGTCGGGATCCGCTTCAGCTGCGGCGTCTCAGTATACCGCGAGCAGCTGCTCGCGGTATACTGCGGCGTCTCAGTGTATACTGAGCCTAGGGTGACGGGAGGACGCTAGTTTGTGTCCTCCCGTTACCCTAAGGAGAACTATGGGGAAAGGACTTAACCCCATAGTTCTCCTTTAACCCGTACTGCAGTGAAGGAATTAAAAAAAAAAAATGCAACTGGCATAACAGTGAGGTAGCTTCCGGTGCTTCAGCTTAACCTGCCTATTTTACAGAGTGAGTCCTCAGAGAGTACCGCATCCAAGCAGCAGAGATAAATCTCCTTGGGGATGTACTAGGGTAGGCCAGAGAGATGGAAGTACAATGTCCTGGTTAAGGTGAAAAGAACAAAACCACCTTCGGGAGGAAGGAGGCCCTAGGCTTTAAGACAACCTTGTCTCTGTGTAAAACCAGAAGGGGTTCGTTACAAAACTCAAACTCACCTTGCAGAGGTGATGGCAGTAAGGAAGTCAACCTTGTGTGTATGTGTTAACAGAGGAATATAGTTGTGAAAAAGATCTGCGCTCTTGGAAGACTGCTAGAATAGATTAATAAGTGGACCTAAAGCTGCTATAAGAAAAATTATTACATGTGATTGGTAAGTGTTATCACAGCGCTATAGGTATTTAAATAAACTAAATAATTTAAAACGAATTTGGTGTTACAGCTAAATCCCATATGATGAAACATAAAAAAACATGTGATAATTAAGTGAAAACCATAATATTCACAGTGAAAAAAGTGTGAAAAAATTGTATTTAAACCACTGAAGGGTCTTCAAAGAGACCTAATCAGTGTTAAATAAATACAATTTGAAGCATGAAATTGCTAAAGTGTGGCAGGAATCAATTCAGTGTTAAAATAACCTTTAAAGCATAAGGTTCCTTTAAGGTGCCCATACACTGTACGATTCTCTTACGAGAATCGCGGGAAATCCCGCGATCGTACGAGAACCGTGCAGTGTATGGAAGGCGTGCGACCGTTTCTACTGTACGGTCGCACGTCTTCCATCGAACAAGCAGGCTGGAAAACCCGCCTGGAATCGTACGATTCTCGGCGAGTGAGTGGCCTGCTTGTTCGACAACTGACGAACGGGCCGGTGCCCGTTTGCCGTCCTTGCAAGC